TACTAGATACATACCCAAAGGAAAATAAACCATTCTGTTATAAAGACACATGCATGTGCATGTTCACTGCAGCACTATTCACAATAGAAAAAGCAGATAATAAACCTAAATTTCCACCAATGACAGACTAGATCAAGAAAATGTGGTACACATATACCATGGAATACTATGCAACCATTAAAAAGAACGAGATCATGTCCTTTGCAGGGACATGAATGGATTTAGAGGCCATTATCCTTAGCAAACTAACAGAGAAACAGAAAACCAAATACTGCATATTCTCATGTAAGTGGAGCTAAATAATGAGAAGACATGGACACATAAAGAGGAATAACACAGACTGGGATCTTCCAGAAGGTGCAGGGTGGGAGGAGGGAGAGGATCAAGAAAAATAACTAATAGGTACTAGGTTTAATACCTTGGTGATAAAATAGAGAGAAAATCTGTACAATAAACCTCCACGACACAAGTTTACCTGTGTAACAGACCTGCACTTATACCCCTGAACTTAAGACAGAATTAAAAAAAAAAAAGTCCTGATATCTTAATCATTTTTCAAAACTATTTATGGCCATGTGACATTTATGATTACATTACTTTCAATGGAAGACATCCAGTTAGTTTTTTTTTTTTTTATCTCTCTGACTTTAAAGAATGCCCCAACATTATAAAACTTCTAAAATAAAATTTAAAGAAAGTAATGTGGAATTAAGCAAATTTTAAAATATAACAAATGCCAAATGCAACTTCTCTCTATATATATATAGATGTGTGTGTGTGTGTGTGTGTGTGTATTTTCTTACTAGTTTACCTTAAAATTTTAGTGACCTTGTAAAAAGCAAGATCTTCATACATAAGATAAATATGCATTCAAATTTGTGAACACCGTCTTCATTAAAAGATTAAATGACAACCATACATTTTAAGTAAGTACAAAACAGAAGTGTACTTCTGTTATAGTCTAGGATGTGCTCATTTCATCAACAAAAGGTTTCTGGTTTTAGAACAGAAAATAAACTCCAATCCCTGCAAATATGCTTCTTCGGCCACACATTTTTAGAAACTGTACAATGCAAAATAGCAATAAAACAAGCTCAAAGGATGAGGAGTTGAAATGTCATTATCTACCAGGTTAATTAATGGATTACTATGATTTTTGAAATGTATTTTCATGCAAATTATTAGTTTATTTTTAGGCATGCTTAATGACACACATCAGTAAATAGCAAATCAAATGGTAATACAAAATATTGAGTACCACATATTTCTCTATGCAAATAGGACAATTATTCTAAATACTTTACAGAATACTTCTGACTAACCTACTTAGAAACTTTTCTGTATCCTAGAAGATTATATAACTTAAACTAAAAAATGTCACTGTTTCTCAATAACTTGAGAAGGAAGAAAAATAGAAAAGTGTGCTCATACTTCTGACTAACCTCTCCCTAAAACTGTTGCTCTCTGTCTGTGCCATTAGGATTATCCAAAGAACTTGTAAATTCAATTATTTGATGAAGCGATGGCAATTATTTAGAACTGAAAAAGAAAAACAAAAAATAACAGATTTTTGTTCACCTTGTAACCACATCTTTTATTATGAAAATGAGTTTATACCAGAAGACTCAATACTTTTTAAAAAAACATTGTGCTTTTAAACTCAAAATAATTTTGATTCAGGCTATAGAGAAACAACTTCCCCCAAACAAACTTACCCTAGGAACAGCCTTCGATGGAGTCAAGCGTATATATCTAAATAAAAAGATAATTGGAAGCTGGGAAGTCTCCAAAAAACAAAGAAAATCATAAGCAATAAGAAAGCATTATCTGAGCCATTTCAGGCAGACAGACAGGGATAGGAGATAGCATCCTAAAATACTAAAATGTGGTGGGTACGTTCATGAGCTTTAGGGTCTAATAACTGCATTCTAATTCCAGTCCACCCAACTGCTAACTGTGTGTCTCTGAGCAAGTTACTTACTTCCTGGAGACTCAGTCTGTCATTGGTAAATGGAGGTAACACGTCAGAGGATGGGTGTAGAGATTAGCTGAAGCAATCTACTATTGACTGCTTAACACCATATCTGGTACTGGGGAAGTGCTCAAATTATGAGCTGCTTGGGCTATTATTACTATAGACCTTGGTTCACTTAAACGGCTGTCTCAGGAGATGAAAACTCCAAAAGTGGGTCTATTAATTCTTTATTTTACTTTTTACACTTGACTTGGCCTCTTCTTCCTTTATGATTTTTATTTCTATTCCTCTTTCCCTGTGTCTTTGTTCTCACTAGAATTTGCTATTTTAAAAATTTTACATTAAAGTTTAATCATACAGTGCATAGAACTCTTTGAGGACTAGAGTCTTCTTTTAAATTTTAGGGTTTCTTTTATTATTATTATTTTTAAGAAAGTACTTCTGACGTTTATGAGAAATACTGAGAGAGTTTTTGGTGAGGCCTACCCTGACAATCCTACCTGAAAATTAAACACCTCCACACACCCTCCTGTACCTGCCCTGATTTTTTTACCATAGTATTATCGGCTTTTAACATATTATAAATTTAATTATTATATTTCACTTCTCAGCCTTTTGGCTAAGATCAAGTGTAGTATTTGTTCTTACCTGCTTAATTTCTGTCTCTCATTATGAAATTACAAGCTCTACAAGAAATTTCTTTTCTGTTTCTCTGCCACATAGGACCTAGGTTAGTACTTGGCATTTGGTGAGTGTATCTTTTCATTATTTTCCTATTGCAGTCTCTTCCTTGGGTTTTAGTTTTTAATCTATGCATGTTTTTGCTAAACTTTAAGAAACAATTTCATACTACTTTGGCCATCAAAGACCAAGCTTGATTTTTTTTTCCCTTTGTTTCATAGAGTTAGAATGTAAGATCTGTATAAATATAACTTCTATCACAATTCCATTTCATTATCTATAAAGTTTAACTCAGACAATTTAAAATATTTCATATTCCTTGTAAATTTATAACAGAATATTTGTAATAGAAAAATATCTTTCATTTTGGATAATTTAGAATAAACAAATGCATGTTAGTTTGAAGCAATTAATTCTCTAGTTAACTACTCCGACTGGTATGAGCCTTGAAGATAAACATATTATGTAATTCTTAGTTGACATGGATACATGATTCCAGGTTTATTCAAGTCAGCACAAACTCAAAGACTTTCCATATCAACATTACTGGTTAACTTTCTCTATAAAAATGACTGAACTTAAACACAGAACATCAAAGGGGCTTGTCAAAAGCATATATCTAATATTTTGGCAGGGCCAGAATAGGCTCTTATGTATGACAGTTTCTAACACTCTACCCTCATCTTCCAGATAAAGACTGCGAAGTGCATAAACAGTAATATATTTAAAATTTGGAAATCTGAATATTTTAGCTGTGGTAGTAGAAACATCATTTTTCTTTATGTCAAGTCTTAACTTATTTGGAGTAACATATAGTTAATGTATAGTCCTCTTTCTCTTTTAAGACTGGATAGAAAAATCATAGTACAGGTTTCACTCAGTGCTTTAGAAAGCTGGAAGAACAGGGGCTGAACTAGTGTTCCATGAAAAATTGTAAAGCAAAGCTTGCAGGTGTGCATATCTGCATCATCACTTCAGTCTTTCCTGAGCACTTCTGGGCACATAGCCCATAACTCCATCATATTAATTATTGTGAGGAGAAAGTTTCGAAGTAAACATTTCCCCATATGCATTTTAAAAATTGGGTGCAGTTTATACTGCTTGGGTGATGGGTACACTGAAATCTCAATCATCACTAAAGAACTTATTCATGTAACCAAACCCTACCTTTTCCCCAAAAACCTATTGAAATAAAAAATAATTAAAAAATAAAAAATAAGCAAAGGGAATTTTAAATACATATGCATGGGAGTATTTTAGTCAAAGGTACAAACTTTCTATCATAAGATATAATGTACAATATGGTGACTATAGTTAATAATAATGTGTTATATACTTGAAATTTGCTGAGAGTTGACAGTAAGCATTCTCACACACACACACACACAAGAAAATGGTCACTATATGAGGTGAGGAATATGTCAATTAGCTTAATTGTAGTAACCATCAGACAATGCATATGTATATTAAAACATCACACTGTACTTTAAATATATACAATTTTTATTTATCAGTTATGCTTTAATAACAAAAATAAACAATGGGGAAAGGACTTCCTATTTAATAAATGGTGCTGGGGTAACTGACCTGTCATATGCAGAAGATTGATAGTAGACTTCCACCTTTCACCATATACAAAAAATAACTCAAAATGGATTAAAATGTATGAGCTCAAACTATAAAAACCCTAGAAGAAAACCTAGGAAATACCCTTCTTGACATCAGTCTTTGCAAACAATTTATGGCTAACTCATCAAAAGTAATTGCAACAAAAACAAAATTGACAAGAGGGACTTATACTAAACAGCTTCTGCACAGCAAGAGAAACTATCAACAAAGTAAACACACAACCTACAGAATGGGAGAAAATATTTCCAAATTGTGAATCTGACAAATGTTTAATACCCAGAGTCTTATGGAATCTATATGGAACTTACACTCAACAAGCAAAAACCAAATAACCCCATTAAAAAATGGGCAAAAGATATGACCAGACACTTCTCACAAGAACACATGCATTTACCAAACACATGAAAAAAAAAATGCCCAACAACACTAATTATTAGAGAAATGCAAGTCAAAACCACAATGAGATATTGTTTTACACTAGACATAATGGCTATTACTAAAAAGTCAAAAAAACAACAGATGCTGGCAAGCCTTCAGAGAAAAGGGAATGCTTCTATACTGTTGGTGTGAAGTAAATTAGTTCAGCCCTGTGTAAAGCAGTTTAGAAATGTCTCAAAGAACTTAAAACAGAACTACCATTCAACCCGGCAATCCCACTACCAGCTATATACCCAAAGGAAAATAAATTGTCCTAGCAAAAAAA